TGAGGTCCTCCCCAGGTTTTTTGGAAAAAAGTTTTTTTCTTAGAAAACTTTTTATTGTCTTAAAAATGATTTCTCGAGTGGTTTACTGTCATTTCTAGCCAAATGAAAGCCATTCCCAAGCAAAAAAACGCCATGTCCGCCTGCTTATGCGAAAGCTTCCCACTGTGCGTCATCCAGTTATTTAGCTGAGACTAAGCAAGTATGTAAATTATGGATCAACTTTGTGAGTATTTCATTTCGTTATTTCTTTTTTTTGCACTTTGCACATGATATCGTATATTTTGCATTTGTCATCATCTTTCACGATTCATGTGATTTACTACTTGTTTTTCATAACTTATGGTAGAAGAGCTTGGCAACAAACTCCTGATAACATTTTACTATCAAGTATAGAAATCAAAATAAAGATTTTATGATGAAGACATTAAAATAAAAACAAGTGTTTTAATCAGATCTTTTCTTCTGATATCAATTGACATTTTTATTTAAGCTGCTATGAATCATTATCTTTTTTTAAATAATTCAGTAAATCAAGTATTCTGGTCCTGAATAATTTCTATATAGTCACACTGGTATCGTCGGTCATAAATGTCAGACTCGTAAAAAGATTATTTAAATAAAACGATAATTTACATGGGCGTTGAAAACTTTTTTTCTGGGTTTTTTCTTTTATTGTATTTGCTTCATCGCTGTATTATGTATGCTAACTCACTCATTTGTTAATATATGTGAAGAGCCCACACGTTATTGATGATAGCAGTATCTCACATGCGTTTCATGACAAACAGCAAACTTCAATAGTAATTTCATACTTTTTCTGTTCATGGCAGCAATGGTAAGGAGGAAGCGATTACCTATGATAAGATAGAGTTTAGACATTGAGAGCGCTGCCATTATGTTTCGTAAGAGTTTGTATGTACTAGTCAAAAATACTTTGAAACTACACCTACATCCCATACCGACATTCAAGCCATTCTTTTCAATTGTTATGCTTTATCTAAAATTCACAAAAATGAAACTTCTGAATATAGACATTGATTTAAAATTCATAATTTTTGATACTAGAGAACGTATTTTACAGTTATAAAATAAATAATAGATAAATGACAACAACGTTGGTACTGAATAAATGAAAACAAATAGTTTTGTATTTACGTTTAGAAAAAAATGTGAATTAATATTATTATTTGGAAGAATTTAAGATGAAACAATAATGAAGTTTCTTGTTTCATGAATAATTAAAATTCTATTTTCTACGAATATCTGAAAAAAGACTACCGCATTATAGCCCTTAAAAGCGGAATGTTCCTTCCAGAGGATATTTTGAAAATTTGAACAAAACATGCAATAATGGTGCATACATGATATTTTTTATTTTCTTCGACTCAAATGATCTGGTGGATCATAGAAAAAGAGAAAAGACAAATATGAGTAATTGTCAGAGGAAACAATGCGTTTTTTAAGGCTGACGACTATTTAAATATCAATTTTTTATTTTGAAACGCTTTTGTATTGATGGATACTAAAAGAAAATCTATTTTTTCAAGCGGTATCTCGCGACACATCATTACTCTATCGTATGAAATCATCCAACGATGTTTTGATTGATCTATTGATGAATTACGACGTCATAAAGAAAATGTTCCTTGGAGGGGACATTCGATCATAACGGTCCAAATTTTTCCTCCATCGTATGAAAGCGCATTATTTTATCAAGTAGTGGAATGCGCATAAGTATGCTATCTTAACGTTTAATGACATAACTTTTTTTTCTGTCGAATATGTATGTCTTTTTTCTATTAACTCACTATTACATATCGAATCAGATTAAATTTTTACTATTATTTCATCATACTTGAAAAATAATTCGAATATCTACAGTAACAGAAAAAGGGTGTGGGTGGTTGTGGCTGTGAGTGTAGCTGAAGAAAAGGTTTAAACCCACACAGACACCCACACCCACACGTACAATAAAATAAGTCAGCGTTTGTGTGAACGAAAAAAAAGCAATCCTAGTAATAAACAGAAATTTAGTAAGTTATCGTTGGAGCAAATAAGATCCAGAAAAATTGATCTGAGACTACTAAATTCCGAAGTAAATTGTATTCTATATTGTTTCTCAAGAAATATTTGAAAGGACAATAATATCTCAAATATCTTTTAGAATTTTCGGATCTGAATAGAGTAATAGTATCAGTACTATTGACAATTTCACTTATGAAACGAAAAATTGAAAACTATCAAAAAGAACAAGACTTAACCTCAAAAGAACAAACAAACTAAGAAATCTATGGCATATACGAAATAAAAATGACATCGACATATTATTAAATATTAAACACTTTCCACTTTTCTTGGAGAAGAAATTGATGCTTGCGTGTGCGTGGGTGGTTGTGGGTGTAGGTGAAAAGAAGACATATATTCACACCCATCACACTTCACATCCATACCCCACATATGTGCAACATCAATTCACGTGTGTTGAATGATTAATAAAAATCGATCAAAACTATGAACATCGATCAATTAACCACTGAATACATAAAAACATCAATGCGTCACCATGAAATAGTACATTCAATTCTTATGAATACGATGAATTACGATGTATTTATATAGCCGAGTACAGTATTATTATTATATTATTTACAATGATAGTGGAATCATTATATCATAAATCAGGTAAATTGATTATCTTGATATTCAACATTACTTTTTCTTTGTTCTTTTAGATCTGCAATGAAACTATATAGCATTGAGAAGTAAGAAAAACTTATAATATTTTTTTCTTTGGTTAAGGATGAGTGATAAAGAGAGTTTTTTTTATTCATTTGGTTATGGGTAGCACTGTAAAAAAATAGGCGTAGAACAATAAACCCTTCAAAAGGGTTTATTAACCTTATAAACGCTTTCATATATCCTTTTAGTGTCATAAACCCTTTCATATACCCTTTTCCTTTATAAATCCTAGGAAGGATATTTTATACGTTGCACTTTCATAAACCCTTTAGGGTATATGAGCTGTAATATACCCTGAAAGGGTTTATTAACTTCACAAACCCTTTGGAAAAGGGTTTTTATTCTACGGTTTCTTCTGAAGGGTATATTAATAAACGCTTTTCCGAAGGATTTATGAAAAAAGCAACTTATAAAATACCCTTCCTAGGGTTTATGAAGGAAAAGGGTATATGAAAGCGTTTATAAGGTTAATAAATCCTTTTGAAGGGTTTATTATTATACGCCTATTTTTTACTTTGTATTCTTCACCTAACAGATATTGACATCGATTATAATATGAATAAAGCACAATATAAAACTCGTCAAGAATATTCTGATAAAATTAAACAAGTTATTATATGGAGCAACCTAGATGAACTTCATGCTTTAGTTTCTTTATATCCAAACCACTTATTTTGTGTTATTTTAAAAACCCAAATTGAAAACAAGAGAGTCTCTATCCATGTTTTTAACTACGCAAGAAATATATCATTGTCTAAGAAATGCTTTTTTATGTTTTACGATGGTATGATTGGTAATTATAATCCTTCATATTTGTATAATAAAACTACGGAAGAAAAAGACAAAAATAATTTTAAACATGATAATATTACATTGAAAATTCCTCTTTCTAAAGTACGGGGGCATATAAGGATCACTTTTGGACCATCGTTAATTTTGGTTAGTTCATGGTTTACTAGATGCAGAATTTTACAAGGAATCGTTTGGTACTAAAATGAACCTATTTTGGAAGTGTCTAGAAGGGCTTTTATTATAAATACTGGCATGCACTTTTGTGCTATAAGTGTTTGATTCATACATAGAAGGATCAGATATATATATTTTTTCCAAATGAATCATTTCATATGAAAAAATTATGTTAACCAACTATCTATTCTGTAGTCTATCTCTGATAAAAGTTTCAGCTCGAATGGTTGAAATATTGCTGAGTAATAACGTAAATACTGCCCCAAATGAGCATGAAAGTCATAGTTATATTAATGCGTCTGTTCATTTCTGCTCACTGTTTTCTCACTATCTCGACAAAGGAAAAAAAACGAGAGTTTTTGATTGATTCTGAAAGTTCGAAAGAAGAGCTACAAAACCAGATATTTTTTGATTCTTGTAGAAGTGACTTTTGTTAAATAAGACAATCTGAATTTCGTTGGGACACCAATATTTTTACATTTTTCACAGATATTCCACTTATTTTCATTGGAAAAAGTAGAGTTTCAGTCAAAACTAATAACATACTTGAGATTAGCATAGAAAGTTAAGTCAGTTTATATGTGTTTCAACGTTTTCCGACGAACTTTTCTTTCTGTAAAACTCACCTAAGATTCCCCACAGAACTCAATCAAAAAATTGATTTCAATCAGAACACAATTTTTATTCTTTAGTTATGTGTTCCTTTGTGTGGCCGTGATTTTTTATTGGGTGTGGGTGTGAATGTAAGTTTTTCTTACTCGCACTCTAGGCTCACATGCGCACCAACACTTACACATCTACACACTCTCACGCGCATCCCTACGCACACTCCACAGCCATATCTATATCCAATTGTGATCTGTTGACAGCTGTGAAAGTGACCGAATGTTGTCTATGAATTACAAAAAGCACTGCCTAGAACCATCACTCAAGAATCGACTATCAAACAGATAAGTTAAGAACACGTCAACAATGATAGTGAGAATGCCAAGAAGCAGCTGAACCCATAGGCTTCTGAATTTGCACTAAAATTCGTTAGTTCACAGCGAATTTACGAATTCTACATTACTCTGTTTAATAGTTTCTGCTATTGTATGCGTTCATGATCTTTAATCGAAACATCACACTCAGAAACTTTTTTATATTTTTTCTAGCAAAAATACTTCCTTTTCTCTATTTAGTCAGCATGAAATAAAATAAACTTAAAATATATGTATTTGTCTTTATTAATAAGTGTATTACAGCGGAAACTTCAAATCAACTTTAAGGAACCTTCTTGATTCTTGATTGTTGACTTATGGATGATTGATATATTGATAAACAGTGACACCTGTCCAGCAACCAGTTAAGAGTTTACCGCCAGAATAATGCCAAGTGTGAAATTCTTTTCTCATCACAAAATAGAGATTGGTTAAATCAGGATATGTTTTGGTCTCGCTGACTTGAAATATTTTAACGTTTGTATCACGAAGATAATTCACAGCATCAGTAGTCATAGCAGGTGGAACTGAACCTGTATACACGGTAGTACCATCGGGAAAAGCTAAAATACGAAAAAACAAAAAAAGAAAATAAGTGATAAAATGGTAGCAGAAGAAAAGAGTTACTTACGAGGATTTCCGTAAGGACATTTGACTCCTTCTCCCCAAGGTCCATTATAATCTTGAGGATTTGCTTTTTGATCCCAACCAAATTGAGCAAGATCTGAAATAGAAATTCAATTAATTCATTTCAGATTCTGTTGTTTTATTGAATTAGACGATTCTACATAGAGAAGAATATAAATCGTTTTTGTGCTTGTTCATTGTTCGGAAGATACAGAAGAATGAAAAGTACTAAAAGTCCAAGTCGATAAAAGAAACAAATAGACAATAATTCTCATTCTTATCGATGGTATTAAGAGAGTATTTTTGCTTATTGGATTAGATTGTTTTCTGAACAAAAAAACCCAACATAACCAGACAAACTTCGTTGATAGAGAGATAGAATACGAGAGGATGGAGGAACAAAGTATGTTTCCGGCTTTGAAGCAACTGTTTTTACTTAGCAGTCATTTTACTTGTTACAATAACCAAGTATTAATAAACAGAAAATAAGGACAAAAATGCATTTCTATGAATGCAGCTGTGAAGCAAAGGTCAGTAACTCCGACAGCCATTTGTCTTGATCTTGCAGACACGAAACTCGGGACAGTAAAGCCTTGCGGTTTTGACTTTCATGGATCCAAATAACAAAAATTATGTTTCATTAAATAATGATGAACGTGGCGAAGTATGACATGATTGAAAAGAAAATTCAAAATCATTCCCAGCTTTGACATCAGTTGTGCAAGAAATATTAATAATATCTGTTGTAAACACTTAGTTAAGCATCTGTTTTCTTCATTCAAAAATAGAGTCACATCGTACAACTCTAGGATCCAAAAAACTAAATAAACTTTATCAACATTCAAACCAGAATCATCCTTTCACATAATATGACTGAATTCAGAAGGATTTTCTGTGAAACAGAGAAACGAATCGGCGATTTATCGTGATTAATTAACCTAACAAACCCGAATTAATCGCTAATTTTTAAATTGGTAACCCACTCTCCTTCAAGCTGGAAGGCTAGAGAGCGGATAATCATTTTTTTTCTTTGTTATTTTGAAAATCAAATACTTCTATAACAAATAAAGCGACATTTCGGTAAAAAATAGTAGGAAATATTTATGCTGTGACAAACTGTTTTCAAATCTTAGTTAGAAAAAAAATTCGTTCGGATTCAGATCAGATCGTTGGTGCTTTATTGCATAGATTAATCTGGTCGAAATCAAAAATATTGTATTTTGGACAGTTTGAACTGTCTTAGAGATGAATGTTTGGACTGTCAGAATTTTTTCTATGGATAACTCATTGAAAACAATGCAATATCAAGATTTTGCCGTAATTTCGAACGGTAGACTGATATTCTATGAGAGATCCTTAGGCAAAATCAAACTTGCCGTTATTGAAAATCAATCTAGGAGTGTAAGAAAGGATCTTTTTATAGGTTTCAGCCTATTTAATAGAATGGAAAAGAGATTTGTTGGAATCGTAGCCTCAACCGACCAACCGAGTAATGCTACATCCAGAGTTAGCTCAGACGTATCAAGTTTATTTATTTGAAAGTTGTTCATGAAAAATTGATGATAGGCATTTGTGAGCCCAAGTACTGTAGTGATGAAGCAGTCACATGTGAAAGAATAAGCGTTGCAACTGCAATATGATTAAACACACCCTCTTTTTCTCTTTAAAAACAGACAAATATTTACCTGATATTACAACCGACAAAGTCGAAGCTGATAATAATAGATAGTATAAAAATGTATTGTGCATGATTTGGTTTTTTTCTAGAAGAATTAACAAAAATGCAAATCAGAAATTCCGTTGCCTATTTCAGAAAAGTGTATAGGTAAAAGAATGCGACAGAGTTTTAATTTATTTAGAGCAGCTGTACTTTTCACAAGGATATGATAAAGTGCACAACGCTTATCAAAAACCATTCCCACAATCATAAGTTTAAAAAGAAAAAGATATGTCAAATAAAGAACAGAAAACAAAAGAAAGGCATAAAAAAGGCAATATTAAATTTTTCAATTCTGAATATTTCACAGGAAAAATGTAGGAATTATACAATTTACTATTTTATGGCAAAGTACCATCCGTATACGACTGAAAAAGAAACGATATCGACATAAAAAATTTAATGCCAAATACCTCGAGTGTATTACATCAAACGTCGAAAAATAGTTCAGACAAAATAATGGTCAATGATTTTACCTCCCGAGGATCCCAAAGCTTCGGAAAAAGTTTTAGAAATGGGTGTGGGTGTTGGGCATAGGATCTAGATGTGGATGTGTATGTGGGTGTGGGTGAGTGTGTGAGTAGATTTTCTCCTCACATCCCTACTACACTCACGTCCACACCACCCACACCCACACAGCTACATCCACCCACACTCAGATATGGAATGTAGTATAACGGCTGCCAAAGTGTTCTAAGCGGACGAAAAATTCTAACTGACAATGATGTGTGAAAGAAATCGCAGTGATTGATGAGTTATAAATTGCAAACATGTAAAAAATAATGCATGAAAATTCCTCGATCGCTGTATTATCGATACCAGAGAGCCTATGTTCTTGAACGAATTACAATAGAACTAATCAATATGTATCTTATGTATTGTTTTATGAATCTCGTGAAAAATATCAAAATCATTGCGATTAAAAAACTAATATTTACTTCTGCGAATAAGAAAAAATTCTCATTTTGAAATACGATCGTTAATGAATGCCAACATGAAAAAACAACATACTTTAGTGAATTAAATGTTAGATGAGTGTATTCTGGAATCATTTTCTTTTTCACTTTCATCCTTGCTCAATGTATTTAGCAAACTAATAATCATATCTCGAAAAATTGCATCAAGCAAATACTTAACGACAAACTACATAGAGTGATGTTGTAGAAAACACGTTCAAGAAGCTTCTGTTATATGTGTCAGATATATTTTTCACTTTGGTCGCATTCATATTTATTTAAGTTTTACCATTATCGAATTAAATTTGCACAGGTGCCATAATGTCTTTGCAGTGATGGTGTGATCAAAAATGAAATAAAGACAACCAAAGTGATGAATATGTTTATTACCTTGTTGTTGTTAAAGGCCTTTGGTTATACACTAGGTTTAAGTCAAATCAGAATGATGTTTTTAAAAATTATGTGAAAGCGACTCTTTGATTTTGACGATTCCGTCGAGATGTTGTACTTCTCGATTTTACTCAGTGATGTAGAACACGATGAGAAGGTCATTGCAGATGACAGAGGCAAGCACCTGATGAGAAGAATGATAATTTAGGGGAAATTCTTGGGAATTTGCCTGCCAGACTTTAGTGAATTCTGGAGATTTTCTGTAAATTTCAGTATATTATTTTTGATTGATTCTGTTTACTTCGTAATAATTCGTTGTGATTTTAGAGATTTCCTTTTCTGAAACTCCAAATATAACTTAACTGAAAGAAAAAAGAATGTCTTTTTTGTCTCAAAAGAAACAAAAACAAATGAATTACTTCAGCAACCCGACTAATATGCTTCATCCACGATGTGGATGTGACTTGTAATCTAAAAGAGTAACCTTACTCATTCCCAATCAGTTTTATATCAGACTTTTGCGTAATAGAATAAAGCATGTCGACTTATTCATTGGATCTGAAGGATCTTTAATTCTATCCAATGAGTTGTTCAAGCAAGAATTCAAATCAAGGACAATACATTAAATAACGGAATAAATACGAGAAAAATCATTCTGAACCTCTACATTGTCAGTATCCATAAGTAAAATATAAAATATTCATTTCTTTCTTGCTTTCCATGATCAATTCAGAGGAAAGATCATTGACTGACAGATATAATAGAAACAATCCACAGTCATACGTTCTTCATGACGTTTCCGGATGGTTCTTGGTGTGTTGTTGTCGGCTGTTGTTATATAGTTTTTTTCTATTCTTTATGCATGATATTTTAACTTCCTTTATTACGTTTTGTTTTCTTCTTTCTCCCCTCCTAACTATATATTTCTGATTGATTTATCACTGGAGTCTTCTCTGTTTATGTTTCAGATTATTTCCAAGAGAGAAAACACCTGAAACTTCTGTTGTGAAGTTTCATGAAGTCTTTTGAAAATTTGAAGTCTCGTGAAGTTTTGAAATTGGCTGTTTTCTTCTTGATAAATTTCCATCTTTAGTGTCACTATTTTCTTTTTTCTCACTTCCTCGTTTTATATATAAGCAATAGTTGGTATACGATAAAGAGGGATTAGATGATTCAACTAAGGTCACTAAATACTACCGTTAGTATACCGAGTGTTGCAAAAGTTTTGCGACATTTTCTATTTTGCATATATCTCGGCTTGAGAAAATGATAAAACCTTGATTTTTTTTGGAAAAGATGCGCTATGAAAAGCTCTATAAAAACTGTATAAAGAGATTCCTATTCACTTGTTCTGATGGTTTTCCCATGCTCAATATGAACAACCTACATGATAGTGCTGCTTCCCAGCGTATTGAGCATAACAAAAATATTTGGAAGACGTTTTTTGTTTTGCAATAGGGATTTGTTCATACAGCTTGTGTAGAGCTTTCTACGGTGCATCTTTCAAAAGAAAAATCAAAATGTTATCGTTTTCTCAATCCGAGATATATGCAAAACAAAAAAGTCTTCCAAACATTTTTATTATGCCGGAAAGTAGCACTATCATGTAGGTTGTTCATATTGAGTGTGAGAAACCATCAGAACAAGTGAATAGGAGTCTCTTTATACAGTTTTTGTAGAGCTTTTCACGGTGCATCTTTTCAAAACAAAATCAAGATTTTATCGTTTTCTCAAGTCGAGATATATGTAAAATAAAAAATGTCGCAAAATTGTATTTATCATCACGAACAGAATAATATTTATTTTAATATATTTTGTGACTTAATCTTTAAAAAAATATTTATGTTAAAACAGAAGCAATAAATTTTTCTTCTCATCATTCCATGTATTTGCGAAAGAAGAAAAAAAACAAGGAATGTGATACTTTGAGATATGGTTTCAAGTGATATATTTGAAAGATATTTAGGCATGTTTGCTATAATATATTGTTACCAGCAGCAGAGGAAAAAAACAACAGACGACATTTTAAGGACATTCACTGATGGAAACAGACGACCTATTCTTCGATGAGAATTATACTACTATAAATCCTGTCTCTTTAAGGAATAGTAAGTTTTCCGTTGATTATCGATATTTTAAATTACGTATATGTTCCAGATTGCGCGGTATATAACCCATGTGGAGGAAACGGTCGTTGTTATAATAATCGCGATGGCGAATGGACGTGTGTTTGCAAATTTTGGTGGAATGGAACTTTATGTAATACAAGTGAGTCTAATAGAAGAGCTGGCATGAAAAGATGCGACGATAGAAAATCAAGTGACTAATTTGAAGGAATAGAGTTCGATTACAGAAACATGATAGAATTCCTGATAATTTTTTTTTCCTTCTAACTGTAAAGAATATTTTCCGGATTTAATTCTAGTGACGGATAGTGGTAAACAAGTTATTACAGCTGGTGTCATGCTATTTGTGTTGATGGTGATTTTTCATGGTCTACAACTATTTTATCATATTCGTAAGAACCGAAAAAATCCATCCACAAAAAAAGAAAAGTTTGTCTCTTTTATACATAAAGATTGATCTCTTCTAATTTTTTATCGTAGATTCGACACTCATAATCTCTATCGAAAATTCTTCGATACCTCTAGTGTCGAACCGGTATTCTGCCGTTATATTGTTTCATGTATTATTGTGATTGCTACTCTTATGCTCGCTACAGCAACTCTCATTGTCAAGTGGACCATTCTACAGCCTATTCATAATGATATAGTTGATAAATTCGAGAAGAATGAATCAATATTCTTTCAAAGACATGCAATTTGCAAAGTGATGGATGTTCGATCAGAGTTCAATAGCATTACTTTTCCTGTTGCCTGTTTATTAATTGTGATATTCTCTATGATTACAAAACGAGTTTCATTTCAACGAGGCAAAATATGCAAAGGATATATTGGTATTCCGATTCCACTTGATTTTTTTGTCCATGTCAAACGAACATTTTCTGCAGTGATATTCGCCGTCTCTGCAGATGAATTATTAGAGATTGCTAGTCAGTTGTTTACATTAAGCGGTTCACCGAAAAATGAAGGTATGTTATCGATCGACACACTATTATCCTCAAAAAAATGTATTTTATTGATTAAGTCAATAAATATTCAATTAATAAATATGTTGTGATTCAAGACAAGTTTTTCCATTTTTCTTCAAAATAAAAAAAAACCATACAAATAATATAAAAATTTGTTTTCTTATTAGGCGTTATTGTAACATATCTTCGTCTAATATTCAAAATTCTCGTCATTGGTTTTCGTCGTTATCCAACTTTAGCTGCTGTTTACATTGATACAGCATTCAGTTTGATGTGTGCTTCTTTGTATACATGGTTAGATTTCAGCATTACTATTGTCGATACTGGTTTATGTCGTAATGAATTTTATCCAACTGACAAAAACTATAATCAAACGCGCGGCTCTCAAATTATCCGATTTTTGAAATATTATGGTACAGGATCGAAATTGTTATTCTTTCAACTTCTTATGGATATTCCTCGTTATTTGTTTTTGTCCTATATTACTGTTAAACTATTCTCATTACTTATCAAACGAATTCGATTTAGAAAGATCGACAATAAACGATTACCACGCGAACAATATAATCTTCTTTTTTCATCGTTGCCAAATTCAGTCGAATCACGTTATGTGAAAAATCTTCTGGGAATGAGAAATAGAAATAAATCAATGAATCGTTTTGCGAAACTATTTCCATTTATTTATGTATGGCGAGATGATTTTCGATTTTCATCACGTATTGTCTCGATTTATGCAGCCATTTCATTGTTACTTTTCTTTATTACTGTACAAGTAAGTATTGTGACATTTATTTTTTTTTCGCATAAAGTGAATGTATTTTGTTATATTCTAACAAATTTAATTACTAGGCATTGGTTCGAATTCCTCCGGTACTGATACCACTTCGTTCACCTATCCAATGGGGAGTCAATGTTATTGTCGTACAATTGTTACAAGATGATCCATATTTACAAACTGACAAAGATAAATCATCAAATTTTCGTCTGCCTCATTTTTATCGACCGTACGTTTTTGCTATTGTGTTCACTCTACTTGTGATCATTATTCAATTACTTTGTATGCTGGCATCCATTCGTCGAAATCTTCTAGATGCCTTCGCTGGCGATCACTCTGAGATTCCAGAACGGAAATTCTCAGAAAATGCTAATTATGTGGCTAGTAATTTTCGTTTTGCTGGCATTCTGATCGGTTATGTAATCTTAGGATATGTCTTTTTGGCCTTCTTTTCATTTATCATCGCCATTATGATTGGATCATTTCTCACATATGGAAGTTCACGATTCTTAGAGCATATACTAAAACTAATTATTCCTGTTTTACTCTTAATTTTTTTAAAAACGTACCTGAACAATATCTTGGGACAATATGTATTTTTACATCATAAACTTAATATTTTATCACTTAACAATCGACGTGTATTTATGATCTTTCTATATTTCAATATTTTCCTTGATGCTTTTCGTGGTTTAATTGCTGCATTCATTCGTTTACTCAGAAGTAATATCGGTGGAATAATATACATGTGTCGACTTGATTATTCACCACTCGGTCGAAAATTAGAAACTACTGACTCAGGTTTTAGAGCTTATTGTGGATTTATTAATGTAGAATGTGCTCATCGTCATCCTATTCTCTTATGTTTTATCAGTCATCTTCTTCGAGATCATCTTTATAAAAAATCATCTAAACATTGGTCGAAAGCACGACATAAATGGATATTAGCTGTTTTTCTTTTGAATAATCCAAAATTAGCTATTCTACGTAAACAATATCTAAATCGGTCAAAACAAAGTGAGATGCAAATTGATTCAATTGAAATAATAAATGAGACGTCACTATCGACCGTACATCACCAATCGGGTGTAGATTTACAATTCGAATTGGATAAAACAGTAGTGAAAGAACGATTCTAATACTTGATTTTATATAATTTTTATTGTGTTGTATTGTTTGAATTTCGAACAAAAAATATTTAATAACAAGTAGAGGTGTAAGCCGATAGGCTGATCGGCGGCGGCGCCAGTTTTTTAAAATTTTTTAAAAATGCTCGGCGGCGCAGATATGATATTCTAAGGTTGCACAGCGGCGGCGGCTCGAAAATTTTAAAATTTCGAATACCATCGGCGGCGCGGCGGCTGTAATTAAAGTGTCTCAGCGGCGGCGGCTTGAAGTTTAAAAAGTACTACATTATCATAAAAATATTAGTCTATGGCCTTGTCTACACTAGGAATATAATGTAGTATCAAATTCGTGTTACATCAATTCGTGTCTACATTTGACAGTTAATGCATCAATCAGAATCCTAGACGTCGAAATGAATCGTGGTTTTTGTTCACTTCAATCATAGAGGACTCGTCCATTGAAAATTGTGTCAGTCTCATTAGAAAATCGAATCAGACATTGATTGGTGCATCAAATTTAATGTTGTTCTGAAATGTGCAATAAATTTAATGCACTTTTTACAAGTGTTTTAAATATTTACTAACTGTTCAACCAATCATATTTCTTAATTCAGCGTCAAAATTTTTAGTGTAGACAAGGCCTATTTCAATATCTTGGCCTTTTTATTTTCAAACACATATGTGGAAAAACTTTATTTCACATCTAGACATAATAAAAAAGTCTATAATTAAAAATAAATATAATTGCCAGGATAAATAATAAATGAGAAATCACCACCACGATTGTTAATAAGTAAAAGCACTTAGCATACTCAAGTTTGTTGTTTTTATTTTGTTTTTGTTAATTAAAATTTAAAATGCTCGTCTCTTCTTGTATTTCTAAATATATCTAATATAAGAGACATAAACTAAAATGATAACTTAGAATTTTCAACCAACACAGAATTAAGGGTTCATTCACAATTTAGAACCCCAAGCATCTGATTGGTCAGAGAACCAGCATGAAAATGAAGGTGAAGACGAGAAAGTTAATGAAAAAGAGATATATTGGGGTTCTAAGATGTAAAAGTATCGAATTAAGGAAAATATAAATGAAATGTTATCGATATTTATAATAGTTGCCGGCGGCGGCGGCTCGATAATTTTAAAATTTCGAATACTATCGGCGGCGCGGCGGCTGTAATTAAAGTGCCTCAGCGGCGACGGCTTAAAAATTTCTAAAATTTCTACTGTCATGGCGGCGGCGGCTTAAAATTTTTCGAGTTTATCGGCGGCGACGGCGGCTCAGCCGCACGGCTTACACCTCTAATAACAAGTGACAATGTGATTGTACTTGATTTCTATTATTTTTTTTATTAAAGTTTAAATGAAAAAAGTTACCGAAAGAGGGCATGAATGTGGCTGTCAAGCGTAGTTGTGGATAGGGTGTGGATGTGGGTCGGACCTATTTTCTGTCCACTCATCCACACATCACATCCTCATCTACCCACACCCATACCTCATCTACTTTTCTGCGCAACTCCTTCAATTGGTAGCAGAGATCACGATGGAAGAAACTCACGAAAATGAAATCATCTACGTTGTGTATTAGCAAAGCTTTATTAAGCAGTTTGTATAGAAAAGATAGTTTCGAATACAGCTAAAATGAAAGACCATTCTAGTAAGTCTTTTGAAATTCTTTGACTACAGTTATTTGAATCTTAATCAGATTATATTTTTGTTTGAAAATCACTATGAACTCGTCTCAAATATCAATACTTAGTGTCATTTTGAGAATGGAGCTAAAATCTTAAACGAGATGAGTTTTTCAACTCTATCATGTCTCTTTTATTACGCCTTAATTGGAGAGATCAGACTATCAGGTCTTGTTAATACATTTATAAATTCTAGTCGAAGTAGAGCAACAGAAAATAATATATAAGCTAGAATTTAACAGCAACTGTCATTTTTTTTCTCTTCGCTTGTCGGAAGGCGTGCCAAGCAATAGTCTTAATTGATTAACAACTTTTCACATTCGACAGTTGTCTATAGAGGGAGTCCTATGAGAACAAAAGAATTCCAAAAAGATATGGAATTTAAGCATGTGCTCTGCTGCAATTTGAAACTGAACTTAGCAATCTGTTTAGTGTTAGTACTTACGAGTGATAATACCAATCAGATTACTTAATACAGTTTCAAATTTCAAGCGAAAGCAAGACTTGACTGTACAACAAACCTCTGAATCATCATTGCCAGATGAATATCATAGAGATATTCACACTACGGTTAATACGAGTTTTGACAAACTCATTCTGATACAAATATGAGCTTGTGAAAAGCAGTTTTATCTATAAATGCATTGATGAAAACCATAATGGGCAGTGATTCGATGAGTTGTGCATATTTGGGTATTGGGCACTTTAAGTGGCCGTCACGAAGGGCAATTAGCCTTTCATAAAGATGAAAGTTGTGAATAAAGTAATAAATCAGTTGAAAGAAGAGCATACTTTTTTATTTCATTCAAATTCATGATTAGATAATGGTCACATAACACATGCCATTATATCCTCACTAAGAAGACGTGAATTTAATCTTTATGTGAAGCATTTACATATTGTGCATTAACAAAAGCAATTGTGAGATAAAGTAAATGCCAAACCTAAGATAAACTCAACTTTGCTTGAAAGTAAAAATGTCGACAGTAAAAAAGTGTAGAAATTGTAAAATGTCCGAAAAAGCATCAGAAAAATAAAAAAGTAAAATTCTGAAAGATGTTGGATAGATATGTGAGTATGGCTGAACAGAAGACACACTCACAGCTTATTGACGAGTGATTATCATAGAATAAATTCTCATATTCATTAAAATCATCTCAAATATATGGAAGTTTATTAATTTTACAAAAGCAAAAGAGAAAATATGTACAGAAATATTATACCGCAACGTTCTTCTGGGACATTGAAGCAGAAAAGCAAATGAACAGCAGTATTAAAAAATCGAATAAACAGGTTATACAATCGATAAGGTAATTATCTCATTATAGCATCTGATCTTCTCAACGGTCTGTCTTTTTATTGTAGCGATAAAAAGTTATGATTGTGCAGTAAGAACATTATTTAACATAGGTAAACTAATTAATCGAATTTCATTCTTTCTTTTTCACTAATAAAAATTTAATTTGAATTCAGCTGCTTTGTTTTTTAATTTTCTAAACGAAAAAACATTCAGAAGTTCTTACTTCAGTTTTCGACATTTTTACTTTTGATAGTTTTGCTTCGACATTTTCATGTTGACATTTCTCGCTTTTGACATTTCCTTGCCGATATTTTTACGTTCGAACACAGTTGAGACAATCGAAACCTAACAATTGAAAGCAATGGTAATTTGAAGAAGGTTAAATAGAAGCATATACTCATTCATTCTTATACTATGCGTCAAGAACGTAGTCGGAACGGCAAGGTAGCAGTCGAACATTACGCACATATTATTCTAACGAGAAGACATGCATATCCTAGGAGAAGTACTGAATCTAGAATGGTCACGTAACAAAAAAGTTTCAGCAGAGTACGGGTAAGAACATTTTTTAATCGAATCATATTCCGTTACTGTGAGTCTCTTTGATTGTTTGGAAAGTGTATATACATTTTGTCAAAACATTTGAGCTGCCGTTATACACCGGCTTAAGATGCAGTAAAATTTATGTTCTGTACTGCAGAATTTCGAATCGATTTGGAACCTAAAAATCCTAATTCCATGGTCCTAAAATTCAAACTATTATGTCACAATATCTGCCATACTCTATGAGATAGGTGAGGGAAAGACGTTATCACTTTCTCAACTAAATACTTCAACACTTACAGATAGTCGTACTTCATGGAATAGTATAATCTTGAAACGCATGTTTTCTCTATATGTGGTTGTCATAATGAGCAAAGACTGTAAGCTGATCGTAATTAAACAAAATAGTTGCGAGAGCCATACAATGTCTCATTTTGTAGAACACGCAGTGCTTTACGATCCCTTATTTTAACATGATCTGAAATTCGTAACTTGTAGCATAGCATTAAATAATATTTTTACAGATCTTAAAACTAGTTCACTGTGTAGAAATATTTATTTTGTATGAAATTTCATTGATAGTTTTTCATTTGATTAGATAGTTTTATTTGAAAAAAATATTTTCGGCCATTTTCGGACTTTTCTATTTCTAGTACGAAACAATCGTGACCAAAGAAGTTCATGCTCTTCAGCTATTTTAAACAAAAACAAATAGTTGTTTTGATATCTTTGAGCAGGCTACACTTACTTGATTTTATTGTCAGCATATAATTTCTCTTTCGCTTGTTACATTTTGCAGTATCTTATCTACGATGAAAATGTTCCAAAAACCGTAACTTGCACTATAAGACACTCAAGCTTTTTTCAAGTATCACGAAAAAGTTTTAGTCATCTCACATAAAAACTTGGAACATATCCCTTATTCAAGAAATAAATGATCTTAAAATATGGTTAACAAATGACAAAGACCTTCATATTTCGTTTCTGAGCCGATTTTCGAAACATCCTGTATATATGAAACTTGAATTCTAAACTGCAAACAGTCGAGATGCCGACTTCTGGTCTAATATGCTTACGCCCTATGAGAAAGCCAATGAAAACAGACATAAGATACAAGTCTGAGCTACAAAAACTTCTTTGTCATAGTTCTAGCCACTTGAATTAAAGGACATGTTCGAGAGGACTTTTTTCACGATTTTGTTTCCTATGTCATTCAGAGTTTCTCTCGAAGTCATGGAATATAGAAAAGAAGTGTATATGTCGGCATGCTTTAGACGGCGAAGAATAAGAATCTAAACGTAGAACTCATTCTATGTGTTCTGGTACTGAGAAGATGTGCATAAAAAGATTTTATACAGTTTTAATTTGTTATGTAGGATTGAAAATTGTCGAGTTTCCATGTCTTGAATCGCATGACGAAGAACCGTAGTAGTTTTACTAGATATACAACTCGCGCTTTAATCCAGTTTTATTAG